TGGTAAAAAAAATAATGTTTTGTTCATCACTCATTAGCTGAGATATTTGAGCCTGAAAATGATGAATTTTCAAAAAAATGAAAAAATCTGATTTTTGATGTTTTTTGTTTTTTTTTAACTGCACAGATGAATTATTTTTCCGTTTAGGCAGTTGATATATACTGTTATAGGTGTCATCTATTTGCTGGCAAGCGTTTGAAAATTTCTTGTTTAGCGATGTGGGAACAGCGTCCTTCAGGACAACTTGGGTCATCTTTGACCCATTGGTAGTGGGCGACATAAAAAATGGTTTTTCCATAGTTGTTTTGTTTTCATTGTAAACTATGAATTAGCAATAATCATGCCTAAAACTTTCATAGAACTAACAAGCAGCCAAAAAAAAGCAATCCGTGGCCGTTTTTGAATAACTTTTTATCGATTAAAGGGTAAAAATCCGTAGTTTTTGTTATAATCTTCCTTTTGGACTAGACCAAAACAATAGGAATGACCGATGATTCCGTATTACGAAAAGAAAATGATTACTAACGATTCCGATACGATTCTCGAAATAAAAGACCTAATCACAGCCCAAAACAGTCATCTTTACCGATGTCTAACCATATGTTATCTCCATTATGACACATTTTTCAAAAAATAATTCATGATAGATATGTTTCCAGCTTTATACAAATAAAATAAACACAAAATTGTGAAAAACTATGAAAAAATCAGATCAACAAAAAATCCGATTTTTATGTCATTCAACCCCGATGGGTCAAAAATGACCCATTCTACATTCTCCACAGTGAAATGACTTCGTTCAAATTTAACCCTAACAATGTCATATTGAGCACTTATATAAGCTATTTCCATAGTCGCCTCAACAACAGCTCCGCTGGATTAGTGCCGGGGGGTAAAGGGTTAAACAGATATCATTTTGTTTCTTTAAAAAGAAACAAATGAAATATAATGACGGATAAAAGATTTGAGCAATTATTTTTTTTGAGTTTTCTTCTGAATGGTGATAACAAGGAAAAATCTGAAAAGATTCTCTATCAAGTTTGGTGACTTAAAAACTTCAGTAAAACTGCTTTGATGAGAATGGTTGAAAAATCAAGACTCCTAAAAACCAGTTTTCTGATATCCTTTTGAAGTTGTTTGGAAAAGGTTTTATTTAATAGAACAAACGAGATAATTTGCCTCTTGCCATGATCTTCCTTCGTTGAACTAGATTCAATTTACAGAAGTCTCAAGAACCATTTTTATAAAAAATTTCAATAATTTCACAATGTTCGATGCACTGGGACTTTCTATACATTGAATGTAGTTCAATTGAAGTTTTTAGATTCACCAATTGAAATAGAGAATCCCTTCAGGTACTAAAATGTTTTTATTTTTCAGATTCTGCCTAGCTATTACCATAAAAAAAACAGCTGTTCTAAACTTTTGTCCGTCACTATATTTCTATTTTCTCTTTAGAGTGAAAATTGTGATATGAAATGACACATTCTTAAATCTTTTAGACTTCTGCTTATAAAGGTAGAACTAAAATAGTTGAAGATTTTCTTCTTTGTGAATATTTCATTTGTTCGATCATAGATGAATTTAATTAGCGGTTGTTAATTTTTTACGAAAGTATTTCTCCTTAACTTTGCTATTGTAGAAATGTTTATCGTGGCAAAAAAACTTACTGCTAATGCATTGCCATGATATTCGAAAAACGTTTCAAATTTCACTGCTATGATTGTGTTGAACTAGAACTGTGGTTATCAATCCATGAGATTCATCGAGTATCACAGTACTACATTTGTGCAGATTGAAACCTCGTGTATGTTCATAAAGTTTTGAAATATCGTTCAAAAACAAAAGCTGCTATTGCATAGGTGATATTTTAAAAAAATTTTCCATGTCATGATTAAAATCCTTGATTTGTTGAATAGTCAGTGATTGTTAATAAATTAGATGATATAAAATAGGAACAGATACGACGGCTCATTTCAAATTATATCAATGAGCAGACCTATATATGTCATCTAACACTAAATCGATTAGTAAATAATCGAAAATTATTATTCAAGAATCTGAAAGTGTTTTTTTTTTGTGTCAAATAATGGAATGAGTATCAGCAAATCTATCTATTATTGAACTTTTATCAAAAATTGATTTTGAACGATAAACGGTGGCCGCGAAGTTCTGTCTCGATTTGAATAATACGTTTTTCTTTGACAAAATACGCGATTCAAAATTTTTCTTTTTCGCGAAATGATGCAGTAAAAGACGCTTTACAAAATGGCTTTTAATTGACTTCGATAGCTCATATAGTAAGAAAATTATAGACTTGGCAATGTGCTTTACGAAAAAGAAAAATTAACTATGAACTTTCTTCGTATGTTGGATCTTTCATTGAAAGTGTCGCAACTACATCAAAACAAAAGACTCTTCGATCGGATTCGTTCTGTTTTAATTTGAAATGATTGCTTTTCTCTGTCTAACTGCAAAATCAAACTTCGATCACGTTTTCTGTTTCTTACTTGACCACATTGTTCGAAATGAATTTACAAAGTTTTCATCTTTTTGTGCCTCGTTTATAATTTACTTAGTTTTCTTGATTGAAGTTCTGAAATAAAAGTTTACGTATGATTTTGTAGAGAATTTCAAGACGCGTCTATTCAAAAAAAGAATTCGCTCGAAGGAATCTAAAGTACAGGAGTTCAAGCAAAAATATTTTTCGTGAAGCACATTGCCAAGCCTATAACTTTCTTATTATATGAGCTAGCGGAGTCAATCAAAAAGCCATTCTGTAGAGCATCTTTTATTGCATCTTTTCATTAAAAAGAAAAATTTTGAATCGCGTATTTTGTTCAAGAAAAACGTATTATTTCAAATCGAGACTGGACTTCTCGGCCACCCTTTATATGTCTCACATCATAAATTCACATTCAAAGTCATTACCACATATGCAAATTCTCACAAAATACATAAATAACAAAATGATTTATTATATAATTAAAAACACAGTAAAAAAGTTTGATTTCTTCAGTAGTTAAAATCATATCGAAGAAACTAAATAGACCTCACATGTTTCTTCTCAGTGAATAATATGCAGAATATGTTAAAAACTTACTAAATGAAAATTAAAAATTCTTTCTACTTGTGAAATAGAAATACTTCGATTATAATATGCGATCGAAAAACATTTAAAAAAACAACAATATACATTTCATATGAAGAATTATTATTGAATTCATAGGTTATTTTTTTTTTTTGTAATATTGATACATATGATCGATGGACAAAAATATAAAAATAATTTTAATTTTGTGAGATGTGAACATTTCTATACTAAGTTCGTACTGAATCATCTATCCTTGATAAAAATTATGAATACTCGAAAAATGAAATTTATTGGAAGAAAAAAAAATGTTTATTATGAGTTCGATTCTATTGAGAAGCATATATTAAATGCATGTTCTTGAACACTATTATTTGGCCAAGTAACGTACAAAATATTTCATATTTACCAAGAAAAATGATTGACTATTGGGATCAATTTCGATTATTTTACTATGAATGATATGAAATAATACTTAAATACTAATATTCAAGGAGTATTCAACATATTAGATATTAATGCGGAACATTTTTTTCGATTTTTGATCGATATTAGGAGGAATAGAATATATTATCGAATGTTAAGATTCTAAATAAGTTTTATTTAGTTCAAGTTAACTTCAGAACTTTTTTTTCTCTGCTGTGGTGCAGGAAGAAAAAATGAGCTTTTAACCCGAACTACTATACAATACACATATCTCGAGGGGTCTAGTTTTTTTTTTTCTGACGAGAGAAAGAGAAAAGAGACTAATGTTTTTCTTTTTCTTCTCTTTTCCATTTTCGTTCATCTCGTATTTCATCTGTGTAAAGGGTTATTTCTTGTAGTTCGAAACTAAACATAGAACTATCATCTGAAACATAATTTTCATCGGTTAGTAAGTTTAAGGTGCGGCCAATGCAAAAATAGAGCAAAAACTAGATTTATTAGAATTATACATAAGTAGATAGAGCTTACAACGCTAATTATGACTATATAGGTTTTAATTTTTTAGACCCTATTTTAGGCAAGAAATTTAGGAAGAAACAAAAATTTGCTCTCTCTTAAACTGATTATTTTTTGCTAAAACTGGTATTTACGTGAGTTTGCCAATATTTGATTGCCATGCTCCGATTTGACTCCTTTCATAAGATTCTCGTTTGATGAGACTGACATTTTCGTTTTGCAATAAGATCTGACAATTATTTTTACATGGCAGTCGAGCCATCTTTAATTTCATGTCTTAGCATTGTTGAGAGAGAGAACCCAGGTAAGTTCATCCTTCGACTAAATGGATACGGTAGTCGAAGTCAACGTAAAAAACCACACCAAATTTTCTGTCAAATCTGGTTTGTATTCCTCCAGGTAGTTTTTAGTCAATTTTGTCTTGACAAGGAGTACAGAGCAATTTTTGATGCTGATTCCGAATGTCGTATTTATTTAGTCAAAAGGTAAATTTGTTGTAGTAGAAGTTTCAAAGTACGATTCTATGTTTGACCATTTTGTCATTACTGTGGAAAACGTGTGTATTCTCAACAATGCTAAGACATGAAATTTAAATGATACATAACTTTTTTTCCTATCGACCTGACCGTTTGGATCCCATGTAAAAAAAACTAGGTAAATTTTACAAGACAAACATATCAGTCTAATCAAAAGTAAGTCTTGTGAATGCAATCAAATGTTGCCAAATTCACGTAAATATCACAGTTTTAGCCAAGAATACTCAGAGTGTAAGTTGGAGTAACTTTTGTTGTCTAGTATGAGGTCTAAAAAATAAAACATTATACATTCATCATCAATACCATGAGCTCTATCTACTCATGTATACTAATTTTTCTCTGAAATAACTTCTATCAAAAAAATTATCATTTAAATATTATTCATTTATTTTCTAGATTTGAATCAATTAAAAAGAAAACATATTTTCATTATGGAAAAATCATCGTTGAATAAATTCATTAGTAAAAAGCGACAACCAACAGCAGTACTAACTGAATGTAAAATTTGTGGAGATTCAGCTATATATTCATATTATGGTGCTGTATCATGTAGTTCATGTAAAACATTTTTCAAACGACATGCTCAACAAGGACAGGTAAATTGAATAATAGTCAATTTTATTTTTAGTATATTCATTTTTTGTTTTTCTTAAGCAAGCATTTAAATGTGATTTGAATGGTAATTGTGAAATAAATCTCAATACTCGTCGTGCATGTACTTATTGTCGACTTTGTAAATGTTTTACAAATGGAATGCAAGTTGAAATGATTCGAGGACCTTTTTCGAAAAGAAATAAAACAAGAAAACCAAACAATATAGTTAATTCAATACAAACAACAACAACAGTTGTAGCTAGATTAAATCAACCTGAACAGGTAAGACTATTTTTGATTGTTTTATTTTAAAAATAGAATCACAATCAGTTTAAGTTAAAAATCTGAAAAAAAATTAATTTTTTATTATTTTCTTTTGAAAAAACAATTACATCAAGTTTTAAAGTTTAATTCTAAAGAAAATAATCAGTGTAAGGTTCAAGTCAAAGTTTGGCGGCTCCGCTCTAGGCCCCCATATCGCAGATATATTTATCATTACGAGAAAAGAAGCTAAGGATTAAAGATGTTTTTACAGCATAACGATATTAAATCGATCTGGCAATATATCAAAAATTTATAACAACTAGGGTTCGTGAGTACTACACTTTGGCCCCAAAAGAAGCCGTACTGATAAATATTCTTTGACAATTAGAGTTGAATTTGATGAACATTTTATGTTTTTATGGAACTCATTAGAAAAAAAAAGTGAGTGTAAGTTTGAATGCGAGTTCAGAGACTCGTTCTCCCCGCTTACAAACAACGATGGTTGACAGTAGACTTTCTAATCTCATTGATTACATAATTTTAATAGAATAAGAAAATGAATCAATTCAAAAAATGCATCTATATCTTTCAGCACATTGATTATTAGGTTATCATGCTTTTCAATTCATTCTCATTCCTACTATTTTTCTTGTTTATTCGATCTAGTTTCTTACGTGAGTTCCACATTGTAGCCTCATCGAACATACGCTGATAAGCTCTTTTTTCCTAATGCAAATTATTGTTTTGCAGAAAAATATATATTGAATTGATATATCGAAAGAGAATAAATTCGAATTGAGAGATTCGACTTTCATCTGTATGTCTATTTGCAACAGAGGAAAACGCATTATATCCGATGGAGAAAAATTTTTTAAAAAGAACGATTGAGAACACGTTTTTTCAAATAATAAAATGCGTTCCGTTGATATGAGAATGATTTTTCACGAAGAAAAAAAAACGCATTTTAACAACAACGGAACGCTTTCCAATAGAAGAAAAAAGACTATCGAACAAAACAAGAGGGGAAAACACTAGGAGAGATGAATGCAAAAAAAAAGGAACACGTAGAGATATGCACAGGATTGAAAAACACTTTCTGGTCCCGGTCAAACATTGACCTGCTATTTCATCAGCTGCATTTTTAAATTACTCTGTAACAATGCATTGTGTGGAGAAATTTTTGCTCTTTTTGCCTATATGTTTTAAAATATTTTACATATTCTCGTTATGAAATAATTTAGCAAGTATAATGACCGGGACCAAACTAGTTCCGGTCCCGGTGGTGGTCCCGGTCGACTCTGACACCATTTTCTCCGGCTATGATAATCACATAGTGTTCGCGTTAGCCTTATATTGTAGAGAAAAGATTTCTCTACAAAACGTAGTTTTCGAAACTTTATTATGCTTCGAGACTATAGAGAGATTTTCAATTCTAACATCGGGACCAGAATTAGTCATGCACATGTCTAAGAAAACATCAGCAATCATACGGAGAACGAAAAGAACTATTGTGATTGTATCTGAAGAAGATATAAATTGTGACATGAATCCTATTTTGTTTGAAATGTTGACAAATCATTTCTTTTTCTATTCATATTTAGTTTCCAACTTTGAATCTTTTACAATCAGATCAATCAACATTAACTATCGATCAATGGATTCTTCTCTCAAATTTATCACATTGTTATGATGAATATAATGGATTATTAATTGGTAAAAATTTCATGGATCAACAAAATAATTTACCTCTTAAATTTCGTTTTAAAAGTGCACCAATGATAGATTTTTTCCATATGGAATTAGATCAAGCTCAATTATTATACAAAAACAATCGAGATTTTCTTCATTTATATGCAGATGATCGTTCTATTTTACTTCAAAAGACATTTAAATATACATCAAGTATTTCTTTACATTTCATTTATCAACAAATTGGATTATGTAATTATCCAGCTTTCTATGATACTGTTGAATTAATTACTAATTCAGGTGTTGCATCTGATACTAAGCGTATACAATCTTTACTTAATTTTGATATAATAATAACGAAATTATTTCTTGCTATTCTTTCTTTTTCAACAATAAGTTATACAACTTATTCAAATAATTCTTCAATAAATTTCTCAAATATAAAACAAATCATAAATATTCAAGATACATATATTGAATTAACATGTAAATATTTATTCTATAAATACAAATATGAACAAGTTATTAAATGTTTTTCTCAGTTTATTCGATGTATATTTGCTGTCAATGATGCTTTAGTTAAGATAGATGATGTTCAATGGTTCACAGATGAAATAGATTTTCTTATTGAACAGATTAAATAAACTATTGTTTTTTGATGTTTAAGTATTTTCTTTTTCTATTGTATCTACTGTATATATATATATGATTTTGATTGTTTATGTTTTGTTTTTTGTTATGAAATAGTAAAGATTAAGAAATAAAAAAAGGAATTATAATTGAAAAATCTTTTAATTCGTTAAGAATAATGTTTGTCTTATAACTTGTTTCGTAAAAAAGAATAAAGAGATTCTCGATTTATTAGAGTTTTATGCATACGACCGTCGATCTGGAGATGATTCCTTTGTGTCGATTTAATAATTAAACACAAACATGAGATATCTGTTCCTTTGCTTCTTCTACCCATGAAAAAACAAAACGACAAAAAAAGACATCTAATTTTAATATAATATATCATCATTTTGGGTTATACGAGTCTCCCTCCGACAAAAAAAACGGCCTTTTTCCATTTCATTTTTGCATCACTTAATACGTTGTTTTAAAAAAACAAAATCTACCAGGAGATGCAGCGTGAAAAGAACTATAATTTACAAAGTAAATCTTATTTTAATTCTGTACTTTTTGTTTTCAAAAAAAGTAAAATTGTGTGCGACCAATTTTCGACGCTGCGAAAAAATCATTTTTTCTGATCTCATCTTTTTATCACCTAATCTGCTTTTGTAAAAAAAAAAATAAAATGTACCACAAGATGCAGCGTGAAAAGCTCTATAATCTACAAAGTAAAGCTTATTTCAATTATGTACTTTTGTTTTCAAAAAAAGCAAAATTCTGTATGACCAATTTT